GAAAATCCTGATTATAGGCAGCTCATCCTTGATTTGACGCAAAAACAAGATTGCAAAGACGTCAAGCTTCCGAGAATTGCGCAACGGTTCAGGGTTGCAGATTTCTGCATCCAAAACGTCGACCTCAAAATGTTATGTGAAAACACATTATAAGAGTAGTGCTGATGTCAAAAAGAAGGGCTCTTTTTTAGGAAGCGCATGGAGGTGCAATGGCAGGACACCTTAATGGAAGAGAGCTGTATCGTCAGCTCAAAAAGTCAGTATTTTGGGAAGGAGTGGAAAGCGATATTCCAAAATGGTCAGAAGAATGTCCAAGCTGTTTTTCATCTAGAAACTACGAAATCTTCACTCCTTCTTTGAAGCCGTTTTCTACAAACGTATGATCTCGTAGTTCTACACTTGGTGGAATACGGATTGACTGAGAGAAGCAACAAGTAATAGTGGTGATCCATCATTTCTCAAAGTTTGTGTGTGCCTACCCTATTCTGAACAAGTCGGCCGAAACGGTGGCTCGGGCGTTTATCGAAAGATGGGTATGCGATAGGTGCAGATGGCCCAAGCAGATACACTCAGACCAAGGCCCTGAATTTATAAATTCGGTGCTGTCAGGCATTTGTGAAATAACAGGAATTGAACAGCCCGCAACAGAAGGGTACAACCCCGAGAAAGCAGTACGACAGAACGGGTTATCGGAACATTGACGAGGATGTTGCAGAGGAAAACTATAGTTCCAGCCGATTAGGATTTACCATTACCTATGACGGATTGCGCCTACAACTCTTCCCCACATGACGCCATAAGGGAAAGTCCGTTATATTTGCTACATCGTTCGATCGTAACCGGCCATCAAATGTTATTCCTCGCGACCAGCTTTCTTTCAATCACATCGACACAGATGACTACAAGCATGAACTTCTGGCAGGCATCCAGGTATTCATAAATTAGAAGGAAGAACCAATTCGAATTCCTTTCGATGCGCTTATTGTAGTCCCGATCGAAGTTGAAATCCCTCAAGAGTAACCACAACAAAAAGAAAAAAGCCGCGTCAGGCACAAGTCAACACTGTTGTTTGCAGAGCTACTACGAACGGCGACGATGCAAGCCCTCTCGGTCAATTTTTCAGCTGTTCAGGAAGGAATGGGGCAGAATGACGATGGATACGTGTACTCGCGTTCTATTCGAGGGGAAACACCCAAAGACGTCGTCCCGACAGCATCAGAAGCAATAGGACATATCTACTTTTATTCCTTTTTTGCTTTAGCACGTTTGATTTCCATATAGGAACATGAGAGAAGCGAAGAGCGCAGGCGGTTTTTGATGTTACACTCGGAATGTTGTAGCATTAGCATTACAGGCGTACAGAAGGCGTATCTATTTTATAAGGAGTGTTGTGAGCACGTATTTTGAACTTTGACGCTCCATGACTATTCGTTCCTATGTCTCACGCACGACGGCGGAACTGGCCTACCGTTGGAAGAACTAAAACAGGCTACGAACGATGGTGTTCGGTGTACCAAGGCCAAGGACTGGGACGAAATGGTCAGAGGAGAACGTAGCAAGATCCTAATGATACTACCCGACAGATTCCGCCCCGTAATAGTGCCTTTTCGGGAAGTTCAGATGTAAAGTTTGTCTCCTGTTCAGTTTCTTCTCTGACGAGTAGACTAGTATCATATATACATCTACGACTCTCTTTCACTGAGGGCTCACTGAGAGATCCCAGCCGTTTAGTGACGAGGTTACGTAGGGCGTCCCCAGGTTGTGAACAGTTGAGTAAATCGGGAGTATTCAGGGCAAGCAGTGAAGATTAAGCAATGGACAGCAACATTTACCAGATTTCTTCTTCATATTTACACTCTATATTCAATTTTCTTTTTTCTTAAATTCTCTACGGATCTCTTTCACTGAGTGATCTCTCCCACTGAAGTATACCAGCCGGCTGTGGACGGTGGAGTAAATCGCCATCAAATGTCGCCGGTACCGGCCCAGAGCTACAAGTGGATTCAAGTCATAGACTCCTGGTTTCTGCTGTGCTGCCCTCTGTATCTCGCAAATGTATCCACGCATACGTTTGTGGAGAGTCTTGCGCAGTTCTACTGCAGTGCAGTGCAGTTGTTATCCTACCCATCAACTCAGCCAAAACCTTGCTTTCGAGTGATTGGGAAGTACCCGGAAGGCGATTCGGGGTCTAAGTCAAAGCCCCTTGTCAATTCTAGGATAATCTGGCTGACTACCTGTAGTCCCACGTTAAAGTCTGGCAAACTACTCGTGTACTCATACGCCAAAAACCGCAATATAACTGGGCCTTATTCCCCTTTACCTGAGGGAGCCTCAACACGGCAGCTGGGAGAGGCTGCTAAAATATCAGGGCCAAAACAAGTTACCCAAAAGAAAAAAGACTGACATGGGGATCTGTACTTTCAACGCACGAACGCTTGCATCGGAACGTGCAAGCAAGGAATATCGATTACCGCGTCATCGAACTGACCGAGACGAGAAGGCATCGCCGGCAGCACGACGAAGTTGAGACTGGAGAAGGACTGTTTCTTGGAACATGCGACAGCAGAGGTGTCGATGGCGTAGGCCGTCTCCTCGCAAGTGTATTCATGCATATTTGTGTGGGTCATCTGCGGGTTAGTTTGATACTATGCATATCGGTTCACCTGAAAGCTTGCATTCAAGTGAATGGAAGTAAACGGGAGGTATACGGGGTCGTCTCCAATGAATAAACAATGGACTGCAATATATATCAGATTCCTTCTAAATGTTTACACTCTATAGTCAATTTTCTTTTTTTTTATTTTATACGGATCCCTTCACTAAGGGTTCTCTCTCACTAACGATCCCAGCCGGTTAGGGATGAGGCTACGTAGTGCATCCCCAGATGGCGGATAGTGGAGTAAATCGCCGACCAAAAGTCGTCAGTACTTGCCCAAAGACACGGGTCGATACGAGGGCATGAACTACCGGGCTGTGTTGGGCGATACACCTTCTGTTTCTCATAGGCTACCCACGCATAAATGTGTGGAGAGTTTGTGGGTTCAGTTGAAATCCTGCCCATCGATTCAGTCCAAGGCTTGCATTCGAGTGACTGGGAAGTATCTATTGAGACCGCCTCCAAAAACAAAGGCCCCGTCCACTTCGAAATAGCTTAGCTAGCTTCCGGAGTCAACCCAGGCCCGGGTCAGACTCTGGCAAGCTACATGTTGGGTATCCACTTGCCAAAAACAGTAACACAAATGAGCCATATTTTTCCCCGTAACTGACAAGGAAGGTCTTTCAGGGCGTGGGATGCTTTTTGGAAATGGATTTTTGCATGGTATAGGGGCGTGAGCACTGAGTATAAAACTATGGTCCATTTCCGCTCAATGGCCTTCTGAATGCCAAGAAACGAATGAAAATGATTCTGTCAAAATTGCCGCTTTAACCCTCTAAATGTCGTTTGTTTCATTCATGGCGTCGACTGTCCGCACAGTAGAAGACGCCAGTGGACTGCGCATTGAAAATAACATGAAAGGTAGCCAAAAAAGGGGGCCACATTTTGAAGTATGCTGAAAAGCGCGGGGAAGTTTCATATATGCTCTCCACGGACTAGCTGCCAGCAGCGACGTATGGTGTGGTGGATAGCGATGTGGAATTCGAGCTGGGATGGCTGGACTGGGCTGATGGTTCGGATCCTCGTGGCTTTGCCGTTTTTGCATTTTGTGCTGC